TCGTTGTATTTAGTTTTCATCTGAGAGAAGGAAGTCATCGACTAAGTGACTAACGGAAATTACAAGTTGATGGAATTAACGCTGATTAGCAAAAAACATCTAATTTAGCCGTTGATGTCCGGAGGTGTCATCTGTCATCAACCTTCAACGGTTCATCGCTCCAGTACCAGCCATCAGCCCTGCACCGTTACACACCCACTGTAGTGAAAACCTCTATATGAAAACACACCCCGGGGGTGACATGTCGGCCGTACAGCTCCAGCATTTCCTCCTTATTTAATGATTTCCCCTAATCACCCGTTCATTGTGCCAACCAGAACCCAACTCCAACCCAACCAACCCCTTTTCTCCTTGTTATCCGCACTGCCCGTTGTTTTTACGTCCGTATCCAACCAGCTCCTGGCCGTGAGATTACACACCTACCGGACATTCAAAGGAAACTTATAAACCCACATAAAAGACACGGGTAAGCCACAGGCTTTCTCGTTCCTCCAGCTTCCCCTCCTCTGGCAGGGTGCCATCCTGTTGAAAAGTGCAGTGGCAGAGAACTGAGCCGGCACCCAGTACCGACTGACACGCTGATTTTCCGCGTGTGGTTGGTTAAGTGTGCTGTTCTCTGAGCCACACATTTTCCACCATATGTCACTACATTACTCCGACTGCAGGCGTGTCTGCCGGCTGGAGTGCTGCGGTCCGGCTCTGTGGATTCACAGAGTGGGGTCACACCGTGGCTCAGGGCTTAGATGAGACGGAAGTACTACGACAGCAGGGTGGGCGGACGGACCCTCACTCATTTACTCATGTCAGAGGGTGATGTCAAGTCACAGAGTGTTTGTCTCCACTTTACAGCTAAGAGGTACAGTAGGCTGCCCCCCGACCCCCGATCTTGTCAGATTTACAGCATGACGAATGATGAACAAGGATCTACAGAATAAACGTTATAGAAAATTATATATTTCTTTGTAATTTAACCACTGAAGTGGCCGTTAGTTATATAAAATCTGTTGCTCTTCTACGCTGTATAATTTTTTTTATAATAAGCGTCATTCAGAGTAATTGTTATGACATCATCATTACCTCATCAAACAGAGAATCATGTTTTTCCTAATAGCATAGATACATTTAAAAAAATATATATATTTATATTTATATTTATATATATGAAGAAATGAGAAAAAAGTTTAAATATTGAAATATGGCACAGGAAAATGTGTCCATTGCAAAACATGAATCAGCACCTTTGAGTGTGTGTGTGTGTGTGTGTGTGTGAGGCTACAGAAATAGTAGTAGTAATTAAAGACTAAATCAAAATTGCCTGTCAGATTAACACTCCCTCTTAGTCTCTTATTTTTCCATATCCACGAACCGATCATTTAAATTCCAGAGGTTTCAAATGTGTTGGTTCTGAGGTTCAGAAAATTCTAATGTATCATAAGTGAGAAGTAAACAGCACTTTAGTTCTTGCTGCCTTTGGTTCCCTACTTAATAATTGAAGTGACATGGATGTGGTGAGAGATTAACTGCACTTTAACTCTCAGCTCTAAATGGTCAGTGTGACTAAAACCAGGAGAACGGCAGCCAGGCCGCAAATGCACTGCATCACAGTGTTCCATTTCCATGGCATCTGTGCCTGACATGCATTGTGTGTGTGTGTGTGTGTGTGTGTGTGTGTACAGTGTCTGCTGGTGGCAGTGTGGGGATTTGATCTCGTGTCTGAGTGGCAGCTGCTTGGCCATTCGCAGTTATGCTTCATGTGGTGACATAACTGTGCGTCTCGGTGGGTTTAAAGCCGTGGCTTCCATCTTTGGTTTCTGCATCTGGTCTTCTGGCTTTTAGAGGAATTTTTCCAGAGAATGTATTCTGACGACGTGACACAGGAACACAAGTCTGTGTGATGCGCGGTGTGAGAATGTGATTTCTTATTCTCACTAGGAATTAAATGTCTTTGTCTCCATTTGTCTTTTGTGTCCGTGAACGCTCAGGTCTTGGCCATGGGGGGATCGAAGAGTAAGCCCAAGGAGTCAGGCCAGAGACCCCGTAACCTCGATGGCCTCAGTTCTGGAGGTGGAGTCGCTGGCCACCACCACAACTCCAATCAGCAGTCCTTGACACCTAACCGTAGTCCTGCCATGGAAGGCGGTCTGCCCGGCGGTCAGTCTATGGTCAATAATGCAGAGCTGTCCCTGTTTGGGGGTGTGGACAATAACAGTGTCACCACGTCCAACAGAATTACACTGGCAGGTGAGTCAAATGTCATGGTATCGGTCTGTGCCGTGTATGGTGTCACAAGATCCATCACCAAAGAGAAGACGGAATCACAAGATCCATCACCAAAGAGAAGAGCGAACCAAACGAGTAGTCATTTGGTGAACGTGAACATGAAAATAAAGCCAGAATAAAGAAGAAAAAAGACAAATGTTTTACAAACCTGCTAAAATACCTGAATGTGGCCTCGTCTTAGTCTGACTTAGGTCTGCCAACCTTTTAGTTTTTTTTGTTTTTTTTTATTTTCAGTGAATTAGATCCAAAATGTTAACACATGCGAAATTACATCAAAATCCATGTACAATAATTTCACAGTCCAGTCACTTGTCGTGGCCCAATTTCATAGTGTTATTTGCTCACACTGTGGGAAGACTTTTCATTCCTAAAATACCGTCTCAATGCCCAGTATGTATGGGTGGAGGCTCCAGGAAGGAACTCCTAATGTTCTCCTAGTCACGGTCGAGATACAGTCATGACAAACATCCAACAAACTATCTCAGTTAATTCATTGTTAATAATCAACAACTACCCTTTAATTAGACATCTGAACTCTTTGACAGCTCTAATATATGACTCTACGGTGCATCTGTTACACAGTCCGCCTTATGTAGATATTTTTGACGCAGCTTATACACAGCACGGCTTTGTTTTCCACAAAGTTCTGTTACATTGAATAAAAGTTAGTTGGAAACCTTTTCCAGAATGTTCTGTCCCTGTCAGTCTTTAATATGAGCCAAATGTTCTGCTCTCCATCAGGAGGTGTGACGACCTTCGTGGCTCTGTACGACTACGAGTCTCGGACGGCCTCAGATCTGTCTTTCAGGAAAGGGGAACGTCTGCAAATAGTCAACAACACGTAAGGAAACTCTCTCCTCTGCCGACTTTGTTTTGAGGTTAAAGAAAACGCCCTGTAACATGAATGCAAGTTTATTGCAGTTTATTATACGTTTAGTCATAATAGTTCATTTTCCTTCCTGCGCCCCACTTCTTCTTTCCTCAGTCCATATCCCATTTTCCTTCCTGCGCCCCACTTCTTCACTTCAGTCCATATCTGTGGGCTTCAGAGCCACGTCCACCAATGGGTTCAGTGCAAATGTAACCTGTGAATGGACGACGTGCTTGTTTTTAAAAGTGGGAGTCTGGTGTTTGAATCAATAAATGGGCAGTGGACCGTAGAATAATACAATAACAGGGCAGCTTCCTTAGTACTGCTTTGCTGCTCAGGAATTACTGACCTGGAAGACAAACTGAGAACAAGAGTGGATCAATGCTGAGTCTGGACCCTCAGGTCATAGACCTGGACGATGACTGGATAAACTGACCCATCGACTGTAGTCTGGGTGTTCCCAGTTCTAGTTGGTACAGTTAGAGTAGACCCACGAACAGGTCTTGAACTATGTCTATGAACTTCTGCTTAAATTCCCTTTTTTCTGTGTAAAACTATGGAATACTCTGAAATGCAGTATCCTTGTGTTCTGTGTATTCTGCTGTTGTATTTCAGCCTCTTACCTTTTCTCTTTATTTCTTTGAACCACCGTCTGTGTCACTGCTTCCCTCTCATCTCTCATTTCCATTTCTCTGTCACCAACCATCACATTTGTTACAGGAGGAAGGTCAACTGCAGGTTTGTTCTTTCAGCTTCTCTTAAACTACGACTTGTTGTTGTCTGTCTGTGTACTCTATAGACATATTTCACTCTAAATACTTCCCCACCATAATGGAGTGTGCCGTACTGCTGCAGCACAGTGTGGTGGGAGTATGTGACAGTTGATGGAGGTCAACTGGAGGCAGGTTTGTGTAAACAAAACAAAGCATTTACTCAGTATTATCCGCATGAACTCAGAGCTGCAGAGCTGCAGCCCCCGACCCTGTGGTTTATCCACTTCTAACCTTTTTTTGGCCCCTGAGCCCCATTTTGACCTCACACATTTCTGACTATTTGATTATATTTGTTATAGTGTGTTGCAAATAATACAGATTAGTGTGCAGTACTAGTACTTCTAGTACCTTTCACATGTGCAGTCATGCGATCACAGCCGTCAATCAAGAGGCGCCACCTCCGATATTTATAAAATAAAATAAAAAATAAAATAGTTTAAAAATATTATATTTTATATGCCATTTTTAGTCAATAAATTAAATTCATAGATATTTTAGTTGACCTTAATTGAATTCCACGCGAACCCATGTGGGGTCATGACCCCAGGTAAAAAAAACAAACCCTTATCTGTTAAACCTTTTTATCCTGCTGTAAAAAAGGCCATAAAAGACATGACAATTTAAATGATTATTATTGTCATAGTTATTTGTAAAAAACAACAACAACAGAAAAAAACATAACTTCGTGATTTCACGATGGCAGGTGACGATGTTCAGATTCTCTGACTCTGCCCAGGTGCAGCGGCAGAGCTGAGTGTCTGTATGATGTGGTGAATTGAGTTAGTTTTAAATACAGTGTTTGGTCTGTGTCACTGTGTGTTTACACTGCGACACTTGATAAACACTGACCCTGAATGTCACGAGGGCTGTGTTTATGTGTGTGTGTGTGCGTGTGTGTGTATTGGGTGTGTGACGATCCTCTATGAAGCTGTGTGTGTTATCGTTTGATCGTTGCAGAGAAGGGGACTGGTGGTTGGCACGCTCCCTGAACACTGGAGAGAGCGGTTACATCCCCAGCAATTATGTGGCTCCATCTGACTCCATCCAGGCAGAAGAGTAAAAGCCCTCCACTATTCCCTTTTTTAAAAAAAATCTGTTTTTTCCACCGTGTGCATTGATAGATTCTGAAAAATGTCTGGTCTTTGTGCTTTGAGATGAGGTGTTAAGGGCAGCGCTTGGTGTGATGTGCGTAGTTAAAGCATGTCTGTCCGTCTGTCCGTCTGTCTGTCCGTCTGTCTGTCCGTCTGTCTGTCTGTCTGTCTGTCCGTCTGTCTGTCTGCTTCAGGGTTTATGAGCAGATCGTTACACTGATGCTGAAAATGCAGCAGCAGCAGCTGGTCAGCTCAGCACACTGACTGTGAAGACAGATATATCCTACTGGCTCTGGTCGTTCAAACTCCACCTGTAGCTGCACGTTTATGTGAGACCTGTCGTTTATGGACGTTATATGTCATTTATTTTTTTATCGTAACAACGGCTGAAATAGGAAATAATTGGCGTTTAAGACGGGATGGTGTCCAAGTCTTTTATTTGTCTGGCAGCAGTAACTTCCCAGAGTCTGGCAGCCTCGCAGTGTTGACTCCTGAAGTCACTGCACTGTATATGCCTGAGGAATAATAAAACCCCCTTCGTACTGGTGCACTTCAAGGAATAAATTGACTTTTTTATGTACACTTTATACCTTGTTATGTCATGTGGCTGGCTGGCCAAAACTTCTAGAACAAATGAAAAAAAAAACATTATTTTTAAAAAATAACAAAACCTTTTTCTGTTTATATCTTCAGATTAAGTACAAACACTTCTACTAGAGAATTCCCTCTTTGTGGAATTATGCAGGAGGTCTTTTACCAAGTCACAACTTAAGCTATTTATTGAAAGTTTTTTTTTATTTTTGGGAAAATATAATAATAATAATAATATTTCAATCCGCCGAAAGCTTTCAAGCTCATGAAAGAAAATCCAGAGACCTTTTTATGTTGTAATTAACACAGACACCAGTGTCTTAGGACTTTTTGACTTACCCTCATGTTACCAGATTTTCTTTTTTTTTTTAATCTCCTTTTAGCCATCTTTCTAAGACACCAGTGTCTCCAGTCTTTGTGTTTTATGAGCTAACCCGCTGCTGCCTGAGGCTGGAGCATCATGTTCAGTGTCTGTATAAAAGCAGAGCAGTGTACGTTTCCAACCTGAGGAAGTATCTGCAGAGAGGCTGTGCTGTGTTTTTACTGCCTTCCACCGCTGGAGGCCATGCGGTGTCAGTCTGAACTTGCTTGCCTGCCTGCCTGCATGCCGGTACAAAGACAACTGACTGTCAGACTTCTCTTGATAACACCTTCACTTCTAACTTTTTCCTCCTGCTCCAACAGTCATCTCAGACTGACTCTGGAGTCCAGGTAAGCAGCTGTTGATCTGCAGACATCAGCATGCGCTGCACGTGAATCGACTAACATGAACTCTCAGAAGCTGCCAGCTGCAGCAGCTCAGTCTTACTGCACTTCTCCTTCTCTTCCACTCACCTCCCCTTCACCACCCGGCTTCTCTGTGTTCCATTGTTTTTCCTCTGCACGTCCCCAGGTGGTACTTCGGAAAAATTACACGCCGGGACTCTGAGAGGATGCTGCTGAGTTTAGAGAACAGGAGAGGGACTTTCCTGGTGAGGGAGAGCGAAACCACCAAAGGTGAATATGTTTTTATAAAATTAGGGGCTGTCAAAAGAAAATTAAATTATTCTGTGGGTTAATCATGATTAATCAACTTTTGCTATTTACACAACATGTGTAAACAGCATGTGTGTCAACTATGGATTACTGCAGAAATAATTGGATGGATGGTGAAATGGTTGGTATACAGTGCACATCATACATATATGAATGTTAACATGCATAAAATATATAAAATACACTTCTTATTTTCTTACAAATTTTTTGTAATCAAGCAAAAAATAGGTCTGGGTACAAACTTCACTGAAGGTTAGCACACGAGCCTGGCCTTTTTCCAGTATGGAGTTCTGCATGTTCTGCTGTGAAGTGGTGGATACAGATGGTTGTGTGATTGACAGCTGATCCCCCGCCAAAAAAAACACAGTCAATGTTAAATGGCTTTATACAGTATCTGTGTAGGATTCCTGTTATTGTATAGGAATAAACAGCAACCTCTGAATGAGAATAAGGACAAAGTGGGGGTGGATTGAGTAGATGGGTGAGCTAAAGGGAGGGAAAGTGGGGGTGGATTGAGTAGATGGGTGAGCAAAAGGGAGGGGGGTGAGTCAGACAGAATTAGGTCAATGTGAAGCTGGAGGACTGTACAGCCCCGTCACCCAGTTTTAGAAAGAAGAGAGGGTAAAACCTTTGTCTGGAGGATGCCCTGTGAGTCAGACTCATATTCCAGTTGTCTGGCACTGCCCTCTGGTGGCCCAATAAGCAAAGTCCTCATTAAACTGATGCTGAAATCCTCGTTTCAGTGCTGAGCAAACGTAACAGATAATTGCGGTTATGTGTCACATTTGAATGTAGGTGCCTACTGTCTGTCAGTGTTGGACTATGACAACACCAAAGGTCTGAATGTCAAACACTACAAGATCAGGAAGCTGGACAGTGGAGGCTTCTACATAACGTCACGTACACAGTTCAGCAGCCTGCAGCAGCTTGTCAATCACTACCGCAGTGAGTGTTCCCGTGTTTTAAAGTACAGCGTTTTCATGCTTGTAGATGAATTCGTGTATTAACCCGGCCTTCTCTCCTGTGCCTCAGAGCACGCCGATGGACTGTGTCACAGTCTGTCAGACATTTGTCCTGTACTGAAGCCGCAGACACAGGGCCTGTCCAAAGATGCCTGGGAGATTCCCAGAGAGTCCCTTCGTCTCGACGTCAAGCTCGGACAGGGCTGCTTTGGAGAAGTCTGGATGGGTAAGAAGTGATTTTCTTCCATCTGTTGCCATCTTAAAAAATGTTTTTGAAGCACAGAGAACAGTGACATTATGTTGTCTTTATGTCTAATGAGTCCACCGTCCATTTATTTATCTTTGCTCTAACACACAGTGATGCACAAGTTATTATTTGCACACACTGTTGGAGCTTGAAATTAAAATATTATCTGGTCCAACAGAGGCTTCAACTTCTGGTCAAACGTACAGTATCAGACCAGCCTCACTGATTATTCCACAGCTACACTGTGATAAATCTGAAATCAACAGATTCTACCGTAGTAGTCCACAGCTACACTGTGATTAATCTGAAATCAACAGATTCTACCGTGCAAAATCATAAAATGTTGCAATGAAGTAATGAATCATCAATAAAAACCTACATCTACACAGTGTTTCATAATCACATATTTCATCTTGTTCTTTCGCAGGAACATGGAATGGAACCACACGTGTGGCCATCAAGACTTTGAAGCCCGGCACCATGTCGCCTGAAGCTTTCCTGCAGGAGGCTCAGGTCATGAAGAAACTCAGACACGAGAAGCTGGTGCAGCTCTACGCAGTGGTGTCTGAGGAACCGATCTACATCGTCACTGAGTACATGGGCCAAGGTCAGTACGGACTGGATGGGACATGACTGACAATGACAGGGTTCTGCTCAAGTCAGGTTTCGCGAGAAGTACGATTGAAAACCTGCACGATGGAAATGAAACTTCCAGGATTTGTTTTGTAGCTTTGGATTGTAATTAATCACAACTAATTATGTTTAATCAACAAACCTTCTTGTGTATATGGCTGGAACAGAAAGACACCTAACAGCAGCTGGTTGTCTGTGTTTCATACCTGATTTTCTGCCATTGTATTATCTACTGCACTGCCCTCATGCGGGCAGTGTTGAGATGGCATTTCATCTTTGAGGTGCTTTGCTGTTAAGAAAACTGTGTTTAATTATTTTATATTGAATATAATCATCAACAGTCACATAATCTGCACTGAATCACTCTTTACAGGAAGCCTACTGGATTTCCTAAAGGGTGATATGGGTAAGATGCTGCGCCTGCCCCAGCTGGTAGACATGGCTGCACAGGTTGGTAAAACAAAAAAAATGTTACGTGCAGTATTTGTCTGCAGAGCTAGTATTAGTGACATTTCTCTTGACTTCTTCTTAGATTGCCTCAGGGATGGCTTATGTGGAGAGGATGAACTACGTGCACAGAGACCTGAGAGCTGCTAACATCCTGGTTGGGGATAACCTGGTCTGCAAAGTGGCTGACTTTGGTCTGGCACGTCTCATTGAAGATAATGAATACACTGCCAGACAAGGTAAAGTCGCCAGAGGGCGCCGTTTGGTTAGAAACTGAAGAAAAAAATGCAAATTATTTTTTACTCATGCATACTCCAATGATCGATTTATCTGCATTACCACGTCTGACCACATGGCTTCATAAATGTATTAATGGCTTAATTCTTTTTTCTTTTCTTTTTTTGCCTGACAAAACCTCTCCTCCTGCAGGGGCCAAGTTTCCAATCAAGTGGACGGCCCCTGAGGCTGCTCTGTACGGCCGCTTCACCATTAAATCTGACGTCTGGTCTTTTGGGATCCTGTTAACTGAGCTGGCTACCAAGGGTCGAGTGCCCTATCCAGGTATGTTTTTTTTTTTTTTTAAACCTCGACATCTGCCGTGTTGGTATTTCACTTCGTCATGTTGTGTCCTCCCAGGGATGGTGAACCGGGAGGTGCTGGACCAGGTGGAGCGTGGTTACAGGATGCCATGTCCAGCAGAGTGCCCTGACTCCATGCACGAGCTGATGTTAACCTGCTGGAGGAAAGAGCCAGAGGAGAGGCCCACCTTCGAGTACCTGCAGGGCTTCTTGGAGGATTACTTCACCTCCACAGAGCCTCAGTACCAGCCAGGAGAGAACCTGTAACTGGGACCAACGCCGATATGTGCATGTGTTCATGCATGTGCTTTTAAATTAGAAGGCATGGACGAGTGCAGTATATGTTATGGTACGAGTGTGCAGGACCACGGGACACTCACTCAGTGACTTCCTGCTATTGAGGGTTGTCAGTGGGACAACTGAGGGACTTTGCACCATGTCAGCGAATAAAGGAACAAAACTGAACTGTGGTTTTATTTTTCTTCAACACTGTGGCTGTCGAAGCACCTCTGTATGTCCACTTCTTGTGGGGTTTTCTGCTCTGCTGTGTTTGTTATGGCCGAAGCCTCCTCTGACAGATCCACACATCCGTTTCCACACAGAGTGACAGCAGTCTGAGGAAGGACCGCATGCAAACCAAACCCAAATGTTCAGTTAATGTACTTCATATTCATAACTACACTCCTCGTCAATGTGTTGTCACGGGATAAATCTTTAAATCTATTTTTGGAATTCAATCAAAAATATGGACATTGAACTTTTTCTCTTTTATTTGGCCTCTTGCAATATAAGGTGGTAACGATGTGAAAACAGTTTGGTTTTTTTTCTTGATGGTGTTGATCCTAGATTTTTGAGGATGTAGAAAAGCTTCCTCCTCAACATTTCTGCTTTTTTAATTTAGAGATTCTGAATGAGAGAAATGCTGACAGTTTGTTATGGCTGCAGTCACCGGTTGTTTTACGGCAGAGGCCAAAACACATCTCGCATTTAAGAACTGATAAGGAGGTGTCTCTTTTTTTTTTTTAATATTTACTTTGAGAAAAAAAATGCTACTGATGGCTAATAGCCACGTCAGGAGAGGACTATATTTTCACCGCGAGGATTTTGTGCCATTGAAAAAATTTCCAGTGTATTTTACTACTCTGTGATGAATAGTGTTTTGTATTAGCAGAGGTCGGGGTTTTCTCCTGAAAGGATGATCCGCTGCTTTTACATCTTACACCTGTGTACAAAGGCAACCGAGTCATCACTGTGTGTCACATTGTGTTTAAAGAATGGAAATTAAAAATTGTGTCATGTTCATTAACATGAGGGTTTGTATTTTTAGCCCTTTGTTCTTGGTACTTCCCTCCTCATCCCTGCATCTGTGAGCACAGTCTTACACTGGAGTTATTATGTTTTTGTGATTGGTCCGTTCTGTTACAGCCCTCATGGACAGACCAGTCTGCCAACCAACAGCAGGTATAGCGATAAATTGACATCAGGAAAAGTATATGTAAATACTTTTATGTTAATTCTTGTATATATATATATCATCTTTGTAATTTATTCCTTTCAAAATATCCCAATTGTCGGCTCGCTTGCAGAACTGACAAGGAAACCAATATGATCTCTGTGCTTTTTTTTTCACCACATGGGTGTGTTTTTGTGCATATTTTTCTGTAAACGAATCCTAAATTGTACATTTGAAATATTACTGACCACGCTGGAGAACTCACTCTGTACTTCACTACACACTTTTGACAACAACTATCACCTCTGTCCACCGGCGCAGCTCTGACATTATAACCAACACCTCAGATGTGCACATCTTGATAATCGAATCCCACTGGTGCTGCTTCGCAGGCTGGTGGGAGCGGGTAATTAATAATTTCCGTCGAATATTTCTCTTTTGTTTGAGCACAATCGACCAGCATTCTGTGTGTACGTGTGTTTGTTTTTGTGCGTGTGCCAGGCCTAATTGGACGACATCTGCTTGGGCTGCCTCAGATCACAGGGGTGTCACGTGAATTTTGTCTTTTCTCCTGAGGACATTTATGTTAAAGTGAGCTCTAAATGAGTGCAGATATTATCCCTCACTTCCTCAAACAAGTGTCAGCTGGACGTGTTTACACAAAAGCTAACGTTGTATACAGCCCAACTCACAGGACAACGACTCATTTTCTGGCTATGCATTTATTTTTTAAATCGCTAATAATATATACTGTACATTTACTTTTATATTCAATGGTAATTTTTTGGTTTAAAAAACGGGGTGGGGGGCTCTTAAACAAATCCTGAATTATTTTCCAATTTTAAAGCTTGTTTAAATAAAATTTGTATATCAGTAACCTCGTGCGTGTTGTTTATTGAACCAACATTTTAACAATCCACTTTTCTCAAATACAAGCCATTATAACTGCATACAATATTATTGATGCGGCATATTATTGATATATATATTTATATATCTTTGTCTGGCCAGAATAACCTCAAAATCCCCAAAGGTCATTCAGACATATTTGCTGGCAAATGGCATACGCCAAATAACATTAGTTATTCTCATATTCTGGCACCAAGCGGATGAAAATGGATGGATGGATGGATATTCTGGCACCATCCATAGAAGGTGGGACTTTTTGGCAGTCTCCACATTTAGTCGCTCACCGTTTGTGTTGACCCTAAATATTTCGCGAATTTAAAACTGAGATTCTAACGTTTGTTTAGATAGCAAGTAAGAGACGGGAGGTCAGACTGTTGTAAACAAATGTAATTTTGCCAGAAGTGCTCCTCGTCTACACGCCATGTACGCGATTATATGTTGAACTAGGTGATTTTGTAATTTGTTTTAGAACAAAGTTAACATTCGGTATTTGGCAAAACTAAGGCTAGTTTACTTGGAAATTATATATATATATACAGTATATGTACGTTGAAAACAAAGGCAAGTACCCGGATGAAGAAGAACCTCCCACATCCAGTAGAGGAGCTATGGAGCCCGTTCCGCCATTTTCCGCGTTGAAATCCAGGTGGAGGGTGGCAATGCCCAAATTCCGATGTAAAAAAGGTTCTATGCGTCGTAAAAGTAAGTTACGTCAAGGTTTCTGCCGTCTCTTCACTGTCAGACTACACCGTCAGAGCAACAGCTGTTTGTTGTTTGGCTCAGAATTTCTGTCATATTTTCAAGTTAGCTACCTTGTCGCAAACAGGTATTAATTAGGGCTAGGTTTGGCGAGGTTTTAATTCACGGCATGGGGCAAAGAAATTGTGATACCATTTATTATTAGTTTTGTCGACATTATAAACGACTTAACAAGCTATATTACTGTGAGCTTTATATACATACATAAGACCAGACTACTTCTAATTAAAAGCTAATTGGACGCTATTTTAGCCCCGGGCTATTGACTTTGACGGTCACGCCGAGGGTCTGTGTTGTTTACTTTTTTCATGAACTGTGACGGTAATTTAGCACATTCTGGTCCAAGAGCGTGTGTCTCATAGTTATCCGACTTGACTTAAAAGTGTCACTTAATGCCCAGTCAATTTGCTGTGTGAGGAATAGGTTATGTCTTAGCGGCAGTCACTGTAGTTAGTCAGCAGAGTCAGTCAAAGCTACTTTTGACTTTATCACTGGACGGTCACAAGTAGGAGTGTTTTTTTAGTTTAACCGTTAAACTCACACGGTTTGTGTACTAGTGTGTTAGTTGTGTTAGTTTTGTGACATACTCTGCTGACATACAGATATTGTTTATTTGGTATACAATCATATCTGGTTGCATGACACTACAGACGCGACAGAGCTTTTATACTTGTAATCGTAAGCATCGCACCTCAACTTTCTGGAATATATAAGGATCTGGTCTTTTTACAGCAATTGACACAATTTGCCGAAATGAAGTGTTTTAGTAATGTTAAACGAGAGATAGAACGCATCGTCTGCTTGACATTGTCATTGGGTGAGATCCTACCACGTGACCAGGAAGCACAGCGAGTCCACTGGGCAGTTTGGTTAAATGTCTACATTTACAGCGATTCCTCTTTGAGTTAGTCACCAAGTGTACATGTGGCTTCGATCATTCTACGGTTAAGTTTTATCTAACGTTTAAACATTTGATCCATGACTTAAAACGACATTGAGGAGGAGTATAACCGTAGAGCAGGGGGCGTGTCGTTATCGCTTCTCGGCCTTTTGGCTAAGATCAAGTGTAGTATCTGTTCTTTTCAGTTTAATATCTGATACGTCCCCTACCCGGGGACCATATATTAAATTGATTTTTGGATCAAGGAGATGGAATAGGGGCTTGCTCCGTCCACTCCGCGCATCGACCTGGTATTGCAGTACCTCCAGGAACGGTGCACCCCCTAAAATTGTGAAATAAAAAATCCAAATGATTAGCCTGATCGGTATGGATGTAACTAGCTTTTGTTGCTAACCTTTGGTGCTTTGTTTTATGCGTCATCTCTCTCTTGTTTTGTCAAAGACTATGTGTTTTGCCTGTGTAGTAGAAGTACTTAAATTGGTAGGTTATTAAAGCGGGTGTTTGCAGGTGCAATACGGCCAGCAGCTTGAGACTGTACTGTGCTTATGTGGCTCTTCTAATCCTCCACATATATATAAAACGTCATGTGTGATTAAGTTTTTCAGTGTTTGATTTAATTGTTTATTTAAAACGTTTCACGTTTTTTCTTTTTCTTTTCAAACCCCGTTGCACTGCTGTGCTTCGCACGCCTGGCCACTTGGTGGCAGTGTTCTTTGTGGCCTATGTGCAACACAGACAGGAAACAGGAAGTGATTTTTTAACCCCTTATGGGGGAAGGGGATTTAGGTTTTAGTTGATTTTTTAAGAATTTAAAGTTTTGGTTACTTGTATATAGGATGGCTAACTAGTGATTCATTAGTGAAGCGCCAATCCATCTGCAGCTCTTTCTCACGAGGTTACAGTGATAAAATATTGTTTTGAGTCAGGCATTCATACGTATGCGCAGCAGTGCATTGTGGGAACACTTACTACTCTGTGTGTGTGATGAAGTATATATATATATATATGGGTGTGTTTTTATTTTATGTTTTGTTATAAATGGCAGCATTTGTGTGGTAGTGCTTGAATGTGCTTTGTTTGAATGAGTTTCCGGGTGGTAGCACCATCAGTAAGAACGGTTTCCCAGTGTATGGGTTGGCAGTGTAACCCGTGTACAACTCATACTTACCTGGCAGGGGAGATACCATGATCAAGAAGGTGGTTCACCCAGGGCGAGGCTTAGCCATTGCACTCCGGCTGTGCTGACCCCTGCGAATTCCCCAAATGTGGGAATCTCGACTGCATAATTTCTGGTAGTGGGGGACTGCGTCCGCGCTCTCCCCTGATATACTTGTGGAACATAAATAATACAGAAACTTAACAGTAGTGATGTTCGATACCACCAATTTCCTTTCCGATCCGATACCGAGTAAAATTCGGGCTGGTATCGCAGATACCGATATCAATATTTTATCATTTGTCTTTTAAATAAAAAATGTGTATTTCAAATCATAGCTTCTTTAAGAATCCGAGGCTGAGGTTTTTATTTATTTATTTATTTTAAACTCTGGAGTGTACTGAGGTAGCTGCCTCATTTACTATACAGTCAACACAACAATAGAAAACCTTGAGAACACAATCATATAAAATATGTCAAAACAATGTTTCAAACTCTGAAAACATGTTATTTGTAAAACAAAAATAAATAAAAAAATAAAATAAATAATCTGAGGAGCCATTTGGGACCCGAAAGAGTCGGATTTTTTCAGTGAACCGAGCCAAAAGAACCGGTTCTCCAAAAAAGAGCCGAAATTCCCATCAATAGTGACTGAGTGAGAGCACGGAGTAGAGCCCCTGTGCTTAAGCATGACGCACACACCCAGGCGGAAGAAGAAGTAGTCCCACCAACCGAGCGTCACTTAGACAACATCTCAATAATTTGGATACTTTTCACCATGTTTCTGTTTAGGATACACCTCATCTCAGAATGCGTAAGTATCAAAAGTATCGATATTTTGATTTCAGAATCGATTTCAGAGCATAAAGATCCAGAATCGGAAGTATCGATATTTCAGGATCGATCCGCACATCACTACTTAACAGCAGTCCATGTGATCATGCGCTGTGGTGCAGTTACAATAGTGAACCAGCAGAGGGGCCCAATGCTGCATTTGACTTTGTCACTGGACGAAGTATTAACATTAAACTTGCACAGTTTGTGTACTGTTGCGGTATTGTTGTGACGTACATATATTGTGTTTTGGTCTATAATTACCTCCGGGTGCACGAACGAGACAGAGCATTTATACTTGTAATCGTAAGCATCGGTCCTCAACTTTTTGGAATGGATAGGGATCTAGTATTTTACAACAACTGACACGATTTGGCAACGTGAAATGTTTTTGTCTACGTATGTTTACAGCGGCTCCTATTTGAGTTAGTCGTCAGTTGTTCCTGTAGCTTCGATCATTATACGGTTAAGTTTTATCTATGTTTATAGCGGATCCTTTTTTAGTCATTAATTGTACATGTGGCTCCGCTAATTCTACGGTTAAGTTTTATCTAACGTTTAAACATTTGACCCATGACTTAAAACGACATTGAGGGAGAGTATGAGCGTAGAGCAGGGGTGTGTCGTTATCGCTTCTCGGCCTTTTGGCTAAGATCAAGTGTAGTATCTGTTCTTATCAGTTTAATATCTGATACGTCCCCTACCCGGGGACCATATATTAAATTGATTTTTGGATCAGGGAGATGGAATAGGGGCTTGCTCCGTCCACTCCGCGCATCGACCTGGTATTGCAGTACCTCCAGGAACGGTGCACCCCCTAAAGATGTGAAATAAAAACTTCAAGTGATTAGTGTAATCGATATAGATGTTACCAGCTTTAATTGCTAACCTTTGGTGCTTTGTTTTAGGCATCACCTCTCTCTTGTTTTGTCGAATACTATGTGTTTTTCCTGTGTATTAGAAGTGCTTAAGTGGGTGTGTGTAGGTGCACTACGATCAGCAGCTTGAGACTGTACTGTGCTTTTTAGTGTGGCTCTTCTGATCTTCCACATATATAAAATTTCGTTATTACGTTTTTAAATGTACGTTTCACATTCCCTGGTTTTGTTTCTCCTTTCAAAACCAGTTACACTTTTGAAAAGAAAAATAAAACCACGCCTGACCACATGGTGGCAGTGTTCTTTGTGGCCCATGTGCAACACAGACAGGAAACAGGAAGTGATTCTTTCGAACCCTTTATTTGAGGGAAGAGTGTTTAGGTTTTTTTGTAGGAATTGAACGTTTTGATAACTGTATAGTTTTATATGGGATGGTTAACTAGTGATTCATTAGTGAAGCGCCAATCAATCTGCAGCTCTTTCTCACGAGGTAACAGTGATAAAATATGTATATTGTTTTGGGTCAGGCATTCATACGTATGCGCAGCAGTGCATTGTGGGAACACTTACTACTGTGTGTGTGTGATGAAGTATACATGTGTTTTTATTTTATGTAATGTTATAAATGGTAAAATTGTTATGATGTAGTGCTTGACTGTGCTTTGTTTGAATGAGTTGCCAGTTGGTAGCACCATCAGTAAGAACGGTTTCCCAGTGTATGGGTTGGCAGTGTAACCCGTGTACAACTCATACTTACCTGGCAGGGGAGATACCATGATCAAGAAGGTGGTTCACCCAGGGCGAGGCTTAGCCATTGCACTCCGGCTGTGCTGACCCCTGCGAATTCCCCAAATGTGGGAATCTCGACTGCATAATTTCTGGTAGTGGGGGACTGCGTCCGCGCTCTCCCCTGATATACTTGTGGAACATAAATAATACAGAAACTTAACAGTAGTGATGTTCGATACCACCAATTTCCTTTCCGATCCGATACCGAGTAAAATTCGGGCTGGTATCGCAGATACCGATATCAATATTTTATCATTTGTCTTTTAAATAAAAAATGTGTATTTCAAATCATAGCTTCTTTAAGAATCCGAGGCTGAGGTTTTTATTTATTTATTTATTTTAAACTCTGGAGTGTACTGAGGTAGCTGCCTCATTTACTATACAGTCAACACAACAATAGAAAACCTTGAGAACACAATCATATAAAATATGTCAAAACAATGTTTCAAACTCTGAAAACATGTTATTTGTAAAACAAAAATAAATAAAAAAATAAAATAAATAATCCGAGGAGCCATTTGGGACCCGAAAGAGTCGGATTTTTTCAGTGAACCGAGCCAAAAGAACCGGTTCTCCAAAAAAGAGCCGAAATTCCCATCAATAGTGACTGAGTGAGAGCACGGAGTAGAGCCCCTGTGCTTAAGCATGACGCACACACCCAGGCGGAAGAAGAAGTAGTCCCACCAACCGAGCGTCACTTAGACAACATCTCAATAATTTGGATACTTTTCACCATGTTTCTGTTTTTGTCTACGTATGTTTACAGCGGCTCCTATTTGAGTTAGTCGTCAGTTGTTCCTGTAGCTTCGATCATTATACGGTTAAGTTTTATCTATGTTTATAGCGGATCCTTTTTTAGTCATTAATTGTACATGTGGCTCCGCTAATTCTACGGTTAAGTTTTATCTAACGTTTAAACATTTGACCCATGACTTAAAACGACATTGAGGGAGAGTATGAGCGTAGAGCAGGGGTGTGTCGTTATCGCTTCTCGGCCTTTTGGCTAAGATCAAGTGTAGTATCTGTTCTTATCAGTTTAATATCTGATACGTCCCCTACCCGGGGACCATATATTAAATTGATTTTTGGATCAGGGAGATGGAATAGGGGCTTGCTCCGTCCACTCCGCGCATCGACCTGGTATTGCAGTACTTCCAGGAACGGTGCACCCCCTAAAATTGTGAAATATAAACATTCAGCTGAGTGGTGTCAGCAATGGTGACGTTGTTAACCTATAACAGGTCATAAAAAGTTTCACTAGTCGCTCGTACTAATGAATACAAGTGTTTTGTCTGTGTAGTTGATGAAGAAGACAAGGCTGTACTGTGCTTATTAAAAGTGTGACTCTTTTAATCCTCCATATATTAAATGGCGTGCGTGATTTTTTTTTCATTCTAAACATACTACGTTCCCTGTTTTTGTTTTGTTAATGTTTTTTGTCTTTCATAAAACCTTTGCGCTGCTGTGCTTCGCATGCCAGGTCACTTGGTGGCAGTATTCTGTAGGACCCACGTGCCATTGTGAAATATAAGTATCCAACTGAGTTGTTTCAGCAATAGTGACGTTGTTAACCTATAACAGGTCAGAAAAAATTTCACTATCCGCTCGTTCTAATGAATATAAGTGTTTTGTCTGTGTAGTTGATGTAGAACACGAGACTGTACTCTGCTTATTAAAAGTGTGGCTCTTTTAATCCTCCATAATAATAATCCTCCTTTTTTCCATTTTAAACATACTACGTTCTCTGTATATATATGTGTGTGTGTGTGTGTTTATTTTATGTTTTGTTATAAATTATAACATTGGTGTGGTAGTGCTTGAATGTGCTTTGTTTGAATGCGTTTCCAGGTGGTAGCACCATCAGTAAGAAGGGTTTCCGAGTGTATGGGTTGGCAGTGTAACCCGTGTACAACTCATACTTACCTGGCAGGGGAGATACCATGATCAAGAAGGTGGTTCACCCAGGGCGAGGCTTAGCCATTGCACTCCGGCTGTGCTGACCCCTGCGAATTCCCCAAATGTGGGAATCTCGACTGCATAATTTCTGGTAGTGGGGGACTGCGTTCGCGCTCTCCCCTGATTTATTTGTAAAAAACAATGAATATTCCAAACTGTGTGTTTCGGGCGGTTACCACCCAGAATCACTATTAATGTTGGGCCTTCCTACAGCTAGTATTTTAACTGGGGAGGTTTGAGTTTACCGATGTAAGGAATTCATGTTCGACTAATTTAAGTAAATTGTTTGTAACTAAATATTTATCATTTCGTGTTGACCAATCTGCTAAAAAAATAATGTTTTGGGTCAGAGCTTATCGATATTTTCTTATTTAAGTAAAAAAATGTGTGTTGTCTAAATGCATCCCGTGGCTGTGATCCACATGGCTAACGCAACTGTGAAGATAATTTCAACAAATGGCGGGTATTGAACACGGCAACAAAGAAGAATTGCCTCTGTGCCCATTCAGATGACGTGGTTGGAGCCACACAAGGAAGGGTAACAGCAGCGGTCTGGTTCTCAGGGTGAGACTGGTGCGAAGTTGCACGTGGTCCTCTAAGCACCAGAACATGGTCTGTGACAATATCTAGGGGAGAGAACCGAAGCATGATTTGGTAAGGTTTTACCGTGCTTTTGTACAAAGACGTTTTAATGGGGGGAAAAATAAATAAAACATTTCATATTATTCTATTGTCACTTTGTAACTCTGTAAATCTAATACTTTTTCTAATAAAAATACAATGTTGTGTAATAAAGTGACGTTTTTTCTCGTGGCGTTGCGACTTTATCATAATTGTACCATTCTCATTATTTTATTTTCAATGTACAGTATTCCCCATATTCCGTCACAAACCTTTTCCAAAGTCGCTTAATATAAACTGACTTGGCAACCGGGGTGGCTGTTCCTGTGGCTCGAGGTTTTGAAAAATGATTAATGATTAATACTACAAAAAGACTGCGTCTTTGTCGTCATTATGCAAAAATGTTTCTTATTGAAGCGGTTACGTACTTATTGTATTATTTTTAATTGCAATTGTTACATAATAATTAATTTCGTATGTGTATGTTTTATAGCCAGAAAGTTAAATACTGTAGTTGCAGGATACTTTAAGTCAAACATGGCAACCCAAAAGCAAAACAGGAAATGTTGTCTGGCGGGAGATTATGAAACCAAAGAAGGCGGATGCTGTAGCCAGTGTTTTTACAAAGAAACTAACGCAGTATACGGACTACATTTTACCAAAACATACGACTACATAAATCAAAGTTTGTGCACTCGGCTGGTCTTGTAAATACAGGAACAGTTTTGCTGAAGCTGACAACTTAGCATTACTTCCGTCGTGTCCATTTGTTGCTGTGTTAGCAGCCAGAACATGAAGGCTGTCGTTGACAAAATCCTATCCCTGTCAGACGAAGACAACATCACTGAGTTAGAGAAATACTTGTCCACCATCAAGGATGACCAGGTAATCGTCGTTGCTGGGGATCCTTAATATTTTATCAAAGAACCTAAGGTCGTGTGAACATATAACTGCAAATAACTAACCTCTTTTTTCTTTATTAGTTAATCAGCGTTATTACCACCAGTGCGTTAAAGGGAAAGAAGATATGTGCTATAATTAAAGGCATATTTCAAGGTTCATATGCTTTATTTGATATTACTAAAATGCTATCAAAGTCGCGGTAAAAAAAACGACAACGAGTATTTGTTTTGTTCGGACAGGGTCACCGACAGGTTCCACCGAAGGATCGAAACATAGACTTCTTGTTTATCAACACTGCATCCCCCTGTGTGAGTCTGGGGACCTCCAGGCCGATGTGGCAGCTGACATCATTGGACTTCTGATGCTTGAGGTAAAAACAAACAGATGATGGAAACCGATGTATATTACAAATATATATGTAACAGTAAGCTGTTTGAAGCTGTTTTCAGATCAGTTTAGTAATCGAAAATGCACAAAACTTACACTCATCCTTTGGAAACACATCCTTGGACTTCATTTCCTAGTCTATATTCACAATATTTATCATAGTGATATTCATACAACATCTCACTTCACCCTGTGGAATTATTTTAGTAGTTATTTACTTAAATATCTGTCACTAAAACTTTATGGTTAAAAATATTTGGTAGTAGCCTGAATGCCTGTCACATCTTCAGTCCTGCTCCAGTAATCAAATAAAACACAATACACCAATAAACTTATCCAGTAATCAAATAAAACACAATACACCCATAAACTTTTCTTTAAATGTAATTCCCATGTAACAGTTGTTTTTAAATAGATTCTGTTTTGCTCAGAATTCTAATTTCTTGTCATTTTTCACAGACTCACACACTACCTCCACTGTCTCTCGTACAACTGGCATCTCTCTTTGTAGAAGCCATTAAGGTGGGCAAAATGGGAAGTGGCAAATCCCTGGAACTGTTTCCTACGATACTTACTGCTCTGGCAGCATGTGAGGCCTTGTCTTACGGCAAAGGTGAGTGCACATGAACTCTTTTTAACACTGTTACTGAAATTACACAGTAATTTGTTGTACTTGATACTTTATTTTGAAACTTTAGGAGAACTCAGTGGTGAGGAGTACAAAAAGCAGCTAATAAACAGTCTTTGCTCAAGCAGGTATGTGTGAAAATGTAACTTAGTTTTGTTTTGTTTTTTAAGAGTAATTGCTTGTGCTTTGTTTACTTAGTGTTTTTTTTTTCTTTTTCTTTCCATTAGATGGGACCCCCAATGTGTTATCCACCTTACAACCATGTTCCGGTCAGTTTTTTTTTTATTCATTTCAAAAGCAATGGATGACACTATCCTTATATCTTATATATATGAGTTTCCTAATCATATTTTAGAGATGTGCCCCTGTCGTCAGAGGAGCTGCAGTTCCTGGTAGAAAAAGTGTTCAGGATGTTTAACAAGCTGGATCTGCAAGAAATCCCCCCTCTGGTTTACCAGCTGCTCCTTCTGTCGTCAAAGGTTTGTGTGTATGTGTGTGTAACACTGTGTTTATTTGTTTTGTTTTGTGTTAAACCGATTTCTATCGTCTGTCAGGGTTGTAAGAAACAGATCCTCGATGGAATCATTGATTATTTCAAAGAGAAAGACACTCTCTTGGAAGAGGAGAAGAAAGATGGCAAGTGAGTTTCTCACACACTGCAAGTGACAAATACTGTGTTCACCTGAACTCTTCTTCTTCATGTGCAGATTGTTTACTACTCTTTCTTACACAGCACCCTAGACTTAGAGGTACAGTCTATACCACAGGACCAGTTGAGACATGTAGAGGGCACCACTATCCTCCATGTTGTCTTTGCGATACGACTGGACCACGAACTTGGACGAGAATTTCTTAAAATCTTTAAGGTCACTCTTTAGCCCTGAAACACATTCAAAATCAATGTACAATTATCATTTCGTTCTAAACTGTGTGTTGCACTTCTGCAGATGTCATACGACGACCTTTGCCCTTTCAGTATTGCCTTGTTGCTCTCAGTGGCACGTATCCAGCGCTATGAGGAGCAGGTGAGAAATTATTAATATTTATTTCTTCTCCGATGGTTTGGATCTATGCTCCATTTATCAAGTCTATTTTTCCTTTCTTTTCTGTGGTGTGTGTGTAGGTGTTTGACCTTTTAAAGGGGGCTATTATTAAGAGCTTCAAGGATGACCAGCTGCAGCAGGGGTCCAAGTTCCTGCAGGATGTTCTGCCAAAACATTGCAGAATTGATCGCATGATACTAGACACAGTCAAAAACAGGTCAGAACGCTCAGGAAACTGGGCATGTACTGTATTTTTACTCTTGTAATGAGACATACATATACATGCAATCTTTGCAGTAAAATTAATTGGACATTTGTATTTAAATACCACACGGTTGCTTGTGCAGTGTTTTTGGTTGGGACCATGTGACACAGGGGCTTGTTCAGCTGGGTTTCTTCCTCATGGACACATTTGGGCCCAAACCTGGACCATTTGGGAAGACGACAGATTCAGGTTCTGCTGCTGTGGCCAGAACACCGGCTCAGCAGTCATGTAAGCTGGGCTGTCGGGTGCTTCTCCATGGTTTTAAGGTACCGTTTGGTTTTCAAACCTATTCAATATAAAAAAAAAGAACTGACTGTGTTACAGACTGTCTGTATACTGTTTTCACACTTGTCACTCTTTCACAGATTCATGAAACAATCCGAGGTGAGATACTGGAGCAGGTCTTAAATCGACTGGTCACGCAGACAGCATCACCTGTTAACCACTATTCAGGTAATACAGTCCTGAGACTAAGATACTAGGAGTCATATAAGTATAATTATATTTTACACTAATTACTCGTGTTTGTTTATGCATTTTCAGACCTATTTGCTGACATTGTGACCTCCGCACCCATGATCCTCCTGGAGTCATCTTCTAAGGTCACAGAGACATTTGACCATCTTTCATACCTGCCCTTAGCTACTGTCCAGGGTCTACTCAAAGCTATACAGGTAAATCGATTGACTAAACCAATGACTGATGATGTGTAGTTTTACCATGTTCATTTTTTTTACTTAATTTGATCCCTAGCCTCTACTTAAGATCAGTATGTCCTTGAAGGATGCTTTGATCCTTGTTCTTCGCAAGGCAATGTTTTCCAGGTATGCAATATGGCAGTTTTACTCTGGTGTCTTTGTGTATAACATTATCTGTTCATGTGTTAATAAGAGCCAGATTGAAACAAAAATAATGACCGTTTCCTCTCCTCTGAACGATTCCACCAGCCAACTGGACGGAAGAAAATCTGCAGTGACTGGCTTCTTGTTGCTGCTGAAGAATTTTAAAGTGTTGGGCAGTTTAGCATCAAGCCAGTGCAGTCAAGCCATCTCCTCCAGCCAGGTACACATTCCACATTTGTTAGCCTTTAGCTGTACAGTCTGCAAGTTTCTGTGCAGATGAAACAGAAATGAAGTGAAGAAAAGCAGCAAGAATCAGGAGAGGCTAGAGGACAGTAGACATGCTTGTAATTAAACGCAGCATTGTCCAGCCAGTCAAAGTTGCATGTCACCTCATAGCAACTCTTCTGTTTCCAGTTCACATTTGACTTTGTCATTAATTTTGACCTGTTTAATATTTTGCTGATCACTCAACACAGATCCAAGTGGAAGTTCATGCACGTTACAACTCTGCTGCCAATGAAGCGTTTTGTCTGGAGATCCTCAGCAGCCTGCGCCGCTGCCTGGGCCAACAGGCTGACGTCCGCCTTATGCTTTATGAGGTGAGGTATCTGTGTTTTGTTTGTTTGTTTATTGTATTTTTCTTTCTTAATCGTTGGGATTGCACTCTTGCCTGTTTCAGGGGTTCTACGATGTTCTCCGACGCAACTCTCAGCTTGCCAGCTCCATCATGCAAACCCTCTTCTCACAGGTCTGTGAGAAGTAAAACTAGTAGATGTTTCCACCTGTCTGTTGATATGAATGTCGGCTTCATTCATTGTCTGTGTATCTGTATCTGTATCTGTAGCTGAGACGCTACTACGAGTCTGAACAGGACCTTTTGCCCCCGGTGAAACTGGAACCATGCATCACAGCGCACGGAGACCAAGTCTACCTCCAGGAGCCACTGGTATTCACTCTGTGCTCCAGGGTTTAATCTGCAAATACGTGCATTCGTCTGTTGGTAACCACAGTTTGGTTTTTTTTCCTCAGGGCCATCTTCTGAGCTGCACAGTTCATTGCCTCCTGTGGCTGCAAAACATGCGACAAGCAGCCAAACGTAACGTTGATGACAGTGACGACGACGAAGACGACAATGATGAAGAGGAGGAAGGATACCAGTCTGAACTGCAGACAATCCTGGAGAGCATGACCAGGCGCATGATAAAGTGTGAAATGGAGGACTTTGAACTGGTGAGCATCACTGATGAAGTTTAAAAAGTGAAAGGCAAAAAAAAAAAACATCTTCAGGAAACAGGGGCCTCACCCCACCCCCCACTGTGAGAACCACTGGTTTATGCAAAAGTCTATGCAGGTGCAGTCTAAAATGATCAGTGGAGTTTGTCCATTTGTTTCAGCCACAGAAACATGGTGACCTCTGGTACTCTTTGTACACTACATGTAATTTATTCTTAGGTTTTATTGTACTATAATACAACTATGTTTTCTGCATCTTCTCGGTTTGTGTTCTGATCAGGACAAGTCAGCAGAGTTCTCCCTGGGATCCAGTGTTGGTGTGAAGAATAACATCTACGCAGTGTTAGTCATGGGAGTGTACGAAGTTCTCATAGAGTACAACTTTGTCAAAGCCAACTACAGGTACCATTTCACCACCGTAGTGTGTACCACACACTGGGCTTATTTGTTCGGTATATATTTAAAGAATATATATTTTTCTTGCTTTTTGTTTTTCAGTAAAAGTAGATTTGATGAGCTCATAGAACTCTTTAACCGCTACCACAAGTTGTCTGAGATTTTGAAGGAAAAGTCGGGAAAAGGCCGGGCGGCGTCGCACAAGACACCTCGCAGTTTACTGTCTTTTGGATTTGTGTCAACTCTTCTCACCGTGCTCTTCAGGTACATGTTGATTCCACTGAATAACGCAAAGACAATAATTAATTGAAATTTTTAGAAACACTACTTTTACTATTGTTCACTGAAATAAGAGTGTGCAAATAACAACACATGTTCATGTTAAATGTAACTACTAAAATATCAAGACTAAGTTCACAAACTGATGATTTAAATACTTAATTTTTTTTCCAGAGACAGTACTCAGAGCAGAGAGGAGGCTCTCTCTGTGCTGCGCTCTAGTGGAGAATTTGTGCGTTACGCAGTAAGTGTAGCTGTACAGAAGATCCAGCAGCTGGAGGAAACCGGACACACAGATGGTCCAGATGGACAGAACGCAGAGAAGACTTTCACTTTCCTCTGTGACACGACCAGGTGAGGATTCCTCAGTGTCCTGAATGTCCACCTTAACCTACTATCTGGAGTTTTAATGTGCGACTGAGGCACCGATTAGTTGCCCACCATTGTGCTAATACTTTCCCAGTGTGTTGATGTGGCGTTACACCAACATCCCCAGTGCAGTGGAGGAGGCAGCCAGGAAGGAGAAGCGTTCCAGTTTGTCCCTGATGTGCCTGGAAGGGCTGCTAAAGATCTTCACCACTTGTCAACAGCGCTGTCCACACAAGATGGCCCAGCTCCTCGCCACCATGGGTGAGAGACAAACCACACAAGATGGCCCAGCTCCTCGCCAACATGGGTGAGAGACAAATGTTTTTTCCCATAATAACGTTGTCGATTTTTTTTTTTTTTTTTTTCATAAAACTATACGAGAGTCTTGTTTATTGCAGATTTTGCAGAGAACCAGGCAGTGGAAGATGAAGAGAGTGACCCTGAGATGACCTTCTTTTACATTCGACAGTTTCAGGTGTGTTTATGGCAGGGCGGTCAAAAAATGAAAATTATAACTATAAAATAAATAACATGGAGACTGTGGATTTATGATTTACAGAGATAAATCAACATTATTAAATATGTACAAAAAATGTTTTTGAACTCCATCTATAGAGGTCACTGTTCACTCGGTTAAGTGGAGCCGAAGAGGAAATCAACAGTAAAGAAGCCCAGCTGCTGGTCAGCATCTTGACTGTGCTTTCACAGCAGCTAAAACCTTCTACTAAACAGGCAGGTGACCTCTTTGTCTGGCTTTGGAGAAAAGAAAAAAAAATCATTTTAACTTTTTTTTTTACTGTCACATCTTTATGTTCACAGTTTCTCCAGATGATGACATGGACACTAAAAATTGCAAGGGAAACTAGTTTGGGTTAGTTTATATTTATTTAATTATTATTATTTATATATATTTGGTTGGTTCAATTAAATGATTTTGTCCTTTAAATGTTAAATATAAATATTGATTTTTTTTGTCATGTATGTACTTATATACTTAGATTCTCTTATTTTTGTCTTTTTATTGGTAGGATTTTCTTTCCCAATATTAAGTCACATCTTCACCTGTTATTAATACAAATAACTTTATGATTGTCCCTTATGTTTTCTTTCTTCTCAGAGGATTCTGCGTTTTGCAAGGGCCTGCTCTCTCTTCTCTTTAACCTTCATGTTCTCCACCAGAGTCCTCTCAGCCTGATGCTGGAGCTCTGTCAGGAGATCCACGGTCAGCTGGGGGATATTGATGAGGTACAGACCCTAACTCTCCTCCCACATTGATGATGGCAGGTCTTTAAAATTCATGGAAAATTTAAACTTTATTAGAATTTGACTCCTGGACATTTAACCCTGTGTTTCGATATTGTGATGAGTGTGATTCAGCACACAGCGCCACCTTGAGGCCGCAGAAGTGCAGTACATTTTGTATACCAAGTCTCATAAGTCACATGTTTTCTTCACTTGTGTTGTGAATAGGAAATGGAGGTGGAAAAACAGTCTCAGTTTGCCATTGTCAACACAAAGACAATCACAGCAACAATAGTGAGTGTTGTTTTCCTAAATGAACAACAACATGATATACTGTAGAAACATATTACTTTGTCTTCTTCCCAGCTTTGTCGTCATTTCAGTCTGTTTTTCTTCAGCTGTTGGTCCTGTCCCGGGTTGGAAAAGTACTTGATGAAGTGGAGTGGCTCATTTCCACAAGGAAAAATCAGACAGCATCTGCCAAATCTGGCTGCGGTAAGAATCCTGTCACACTCCACTAGGATTATTGTTGAGAGGGATAAAGTGATGTGCCTGTCAGTAAATGTTTACAAAACAGTTTTTATTTCTTTGTTCCTGGTGCAAAGAAGAAGCCACACAGACGGCAGGTCAGCAGGATCCCATCGAGAAAGCCGTGACGATACAGCTTGGAAAGCTTTTGACTGCGTTACATGAGTTGGTCCAGACCTCTCTGCCCTCTGGTCCCTGTACTGTGACACTACTGAAAGAACTGAGTCGCACGTACGCCATCCTGACCACACTAGTCAAATACGTGCGTATTTGTGGGATCAGTGTGAAAATCTGTATATAGAATCCAAATAGTAACTCACTAATCTTGTCTTTGTGTATTTTCAGTACATACAGGTCTGTGGTACTCAGTCTGGTTCACTGCATCCTCGCTTTGAGAAGCTGGTAAGTCATTAGTTTGGTTTAAAATAGATTTTCTTTTTGGGGTGTTTTTTTTTTTTTATCAAATGTTTGCTGTCTCACTCACAGGTCAAACTGTCTGGCTCACATCTGACCCCACAGTGCTACGCCTTCATCACATATGCACAGGTGTTGGGGTGTACACTGTTTGTTAGGTTGTTTGTTAGGTTGCTTGTCAATAGTAAAGTGACGTCATGATGTTTTTGCTCCTATAAGTGCGGTGAACTTCAGGGTGTCGATGACAAGAAGAAAAAGAAGAAAACTGACACGAACCTCGTTGCTTCTGTAAGGACGCTCATCTGCAACACTGGTCTTAGTGAAATGCACGTGACAGACAACAACATTCTTTAAGTTCCTTTCATTACTTCTTCGCAGGCAAAACTTCTGAAGGAGACCAAGGGCATCCCAGAACTGATTTTTAGCATTGAACAGTATGAGAAATATTTAATCACACTCACAAAGAAATCAAAGGTAGGCGCAAAACTAAAACAAAATTTTAAAATTCAAAATCAAATGGGGGGAAAAAGAGCACAGCAGTCGTGATAAAACCATGTCAGCAGCACCTGTGGGTTTGTTCTTTTTCAAGGTAAATCTGATGCAATACATGAAGCTCAGCACATCCAGAGATTTTCGCATCAGAGGTGACACGCTGGAAGCAGTCCTCCAGGAACAGGAAGGAACCCAGCAGGCAAGCCTTAATACTTTATTTTCTTCTCATTAACAGAAGGATATTTCCATCTGGAAGAAACCAAAAAGTATTCAAAATAACACTGTCATTACATTAGTGAATAAATCACTGAAACTAAGAATAAAATAAATACAATTGTGAATAAAATTCATCTTTCTACATCACTAACAGTCATTTGGACAGAAAGCAAGAAGAGCTTTTCGTTATTCTTTCTGTCTTGTTTATCTGTCCTTTGCTTTTATTTTGGACAGACCCAAGAGACACAAAACGCTCAAGAGACACAAGAACCCAAACAGAAGAAACGAAAACAGTGAGCTGACGTGGAACTCCTTGCCAGTTTTTGTGACGCACACAGGTCACATTATTTTTTCATACTGCCTTTGCTAATGTTAACGATTTAATAGGAATCCAAAGTTTCACCTGGGAAGAAAGAAATGGTTATTTTGCTGTTATGTAAAAAAAAAGTACAAGAAAAAGCTCATTTTTAATTTTAATACAATCTACTGTTAAAACTGTTTGTGTATAAAAATGTTGGCCCTGTTTTCTCAGTATTTTGTAACACTAAGTACAGCAGTTGTATGTATTTTGCTTTACTGGGACAGTTTTGTACTGTATATATGTATACATATGTGTGTATACACATATATGTATATGTGTGTGTATGTATATTTATAATATATATACATACTGTATATATTATATAATATATATACCAGGGCTATCAAAATAAATATGTCAAATAAAATGAAGCCAATAAAACCTTTGAATCCCTTTTAATACAAGGCCAGAATGACATGCACTGTATAACCAATAATCTAACTGTCCATCCATTTATAACAATTACAACAGATCATACCAGACAGTGTAATGTGGTTGATTTGTCACATGATCAAAATGTCCTTTGATGTGTCATCTCTAAAAAGTCTGCAGAAGAGTTCAGTCGCATCTGTCACCTGTAGAGATCAGCATTCTCACTGGAGAACATAAGAGGTAAGCTGTTAAAGAAGGACTTGTTGCATTTCCACCATGGACCAACAGCTGAAAAAGATCATTTCTACATTCCTGTGTGTGAGAGAAGCCCTCACCAAAGGACTGGATGAAATCATATCTCTGCGGGAGGAGAATAAGGCTCTAAAAGAGCAAGTAGTCCAGATTCAGCAAAGTGGTAACCAGCTCCATGGAGAACTTATTCAAGCCATCCGAAATCGGCACAGGAGTGATGAAGCCTATGTGGAGCACCACAGTACTTTGGGTGACAAAGTCAGTGAGGCCCAGTGTGAAGCTAAGAGAAGTATAGAGAGTGTGATGGCTGCTCGGGGTGAGATCTGGAAAGGATGTTTGGGAGAGGATGAGGCAGAGAAGCAGCAGGATGTAGAAAAATGGCAAATGGGGGACGAGGAGGTGCAAACAACCTGATGTGCGATCTCCAGAGGTGGGGTAGGGCTACAACCAGACTCTGAAAGTAAGAAAAGGGAATAAAGAAAGAAGCCTTAACTAGAAAGAGCCTGTGATCACTGTCACACTTACAGTCAAGCAGGAAAAAAAACAGCCAGCTAGAGAGTGGAACTCCATGAAGTCAGTGCTAGGATGGAGCAAGAACTTACAGGGATGCTGGAAAGTTGCAAAATATTTGAGAATAGATGAGATGAACACAACACAGCTTTCAGTTGTGGACCTGGGACACACCTCTGACCACCTTCTATCATGCCCACTTCTATTCTTCCTGTTACCCAAGTTGTAAAAATGACAAAAGGAAAAGTAAAATGATTAAAAATGTAACAGTCTAACACTTAAATATTGATTTTTCCTCAGCCATCTTATTATATATGGCAGATCTCTCAAGCTTCTTAAGCAGGTCTTAAGTTTTATCATATATGTTTTGTCAAATGTTGATGACGATGGGCCTGTGGATTTCCACAAATATCGGGTTTAAAGCAGTCATACATGTCACATTAAATATTGAGCTGGTTTATAAACAACACTGCAACATAATGTCACTGTTCGCAGTTTCTGGCACTTGCACAGCGAGAAATGTTCAATTTAAATCAACTTCCTGCGGTCAAAATAGGCAATGCTAAGCTAACGCTATATAAACTGCTTCACCTGAACTGTAAGTGGTTGTAACGTCTGTCACGATTCTCGTTATTGTTGTGTTTAAATGTTTTATTGTCTGCATGTAGTAATTTGCTTCTCTTTTTTTTACCTTGGTATAATAGGCAAAACAACAAATAAACTGTCAATAGCTTTTGTTGTTGCTAAATTTTGTATAGTGGTCTGACATATAACTAAAACCCTTAAAAACCCCATTCACTCGATAATATGGATGTCACATTTTATTCATATATATTGGATTTGTATTTTCATTTTATATATTTATCCTTTATAATGTAAAATATTATCGTAATAATATTGTATGTATACTATTATCTCAATTATATATGTGTATGTAATTATTGACTGAAACCTGTAATGGTTACGTTAACCGGTGGCGCTACCTACACGTGCTTCACGTGTACTGCCGCTGGCTGTGTGAAACCAGAAAGTCCCGGAAGAGTCTCCTTCAGTGTTTGTGGTTATGTGTACAACGGAGACGGAGTCAGGTAAAGACCGCGCCACTCTTTTTTTTTACCTGTAAACAATGAGGGAAGGACACAAAACTAGACACACGACAGCACTGACTGGAGCCGCATACAGCAGGACCTGAACCTGGCTACAATCAGTTTTGGTCGGATTCGTTTGCTCTGCTATTCCACCGTTAAACTTGTAAGTACGAAACCAGGTGCTTTGGGGTTTTTTTTTTCGTTTTCATGTGTTACCAGACGTTTAGGTTTCTCGGTGGGCTATGTTAAGTTGAGGTTTTGTGTCAATAGTTGTCTAATGTCCAGCTTTTACCTAAAACGGAACAGAAGGTTAACGAACGAGCTCTCCTGTAGTATACTAGTCATTTTCCGCTCATACACCGTTAACGCTCATACTGTGTACTGTGTACTGTGTACTGTGTACTGCTCTAAAGCAGTAGCCACAGCGGCCAAGTCTTTCTCTTACATTCTCATTTGCTTCCTAGTATTGTGAGCATATTTACTGCAAAAGGCCACATATCCCTGTGCAGTATTTCCCAAATGGTGGGTCGGGTCCCATAGGAGGCTCACGGAAGATGTTTTACAGAGTACTACCAGTTTCGGCCTGTCCTGCATGAAGACCTTAGCCACTAATATTCAAAGACATGATTCAATATTTGCCATATTGTCCGCCCTTTCTAAACCATTTGTGTGTTTAGACATATACAAAATGACGCTTCACCTCTGTACATTCACAACATGTTCTGTCTTTGAGGGATCAGATGAAGGTGTGGCAGACGTGATGTAGCATCAGTGTGTATTAGCGTGTCATGTTCAGTAGTAAAAGTGTCTTTTACTATTGAACATGACACCTTAAACTGAACTAGTCTTGCTTTCTTAGCTTTGTTCTGTTTAGTTTTTTGTAGTTGTTGTTAGCAGATTATGTTACTCAGTGTTTGGCAGAACCACCAAGCTGTTGAACTTCCTGTGATAATGTTAAAAATAAAAATTAACTGTGATATCTGCTATATGTTTACAGTAAAGTATTAGCACCAGTTCAGACTAACTAATTGTGAATTATTGTAAAATCCTTTAGTCTGTGGTGTTGCTACTCAGTTGGTACACAGCTAATGTTTACATTGCCCATTGGGTATTTTAAATGATACTACTTAGCATTTTTGTCAAGCCTATCCCAGTCATCTGCCACACAGGAAGCCATGACATTTTGTTTCAAAATATGTTGTTTATTTATGGCCCAGTTTTAAACACCCATGATCTAACTCGTATTTCCCAGGATTGCTCAACACCAGTCAGATGATGCTCTTGTTTGCCCCATTCACCTTTGCCACAGATGACACTTCGTTCACTGTGACCATACTTCAATTTACCAATTTTATTTTTAGACAGCACAAAGTAAAAATACTTCAAGGTATAAAAACCGCAACCTCCTGCAAATGCACAAAAGTAGGGTGACGATACTCTGAAGGTATTTTTAGGAGCATGTCTTTGTACTTCTCTGACGTTTCTTTTCTCGGTCTACAACAGCGTTCGATCGGATGCTGTTTTTGTGAAAACATCAGCAGGACAGAAGTGGTATTTGTATAATCTTATAATTATCTTCAATAGTCAGAAGTTTCATGCCCCTCAGGGTGTAATAGAAACCAAACTGGTTGGTTGGTTGTAAAGACGGATATTGTTCCTCCCAGGGCTTTATTTCTGTCTATCAGCAGCACCTTGGAGATATGTCAACAACATCACATTATTTGTTGTCTCGTCATTTATTGCAGGTAGCACTGAAATGATTGGAACTACACGTAACAGGGTGAAAAGGATAAAAGATAAAGATCCAGCTTACCATGTTGTAAATTTTTAATCGTGATCATTCTTTTATAACACCATATACTGTAACTAGTGATAGGAGGCATGGAACCCTGTATAGCAGGCATTTGAAATTCAACCTCAAACTCCTGGCCCGTGGGCCCTTTCTAGCTCACAAATACCGAAAAATCTGGCCCGCAAATAGTTATCAGTAATAATTAAAATTTGGGTGTTGAGGATTTAAAAATATATATATTTAAAATTATTTCATTTGTTCATTCATTATCTGTATCTATATTCACTGTTGTATTATACAGTATTTAAATAATTAAACAACAACAAAAGACACCCACTTACAGGCACAGTGAGGTAGTAAGGTAAACACATGTTGCTCTGGTCGGCTTACTGTAATTAAAAAGCCTTCCTCTCAGGTGGAGGGCAGAAGTTGCACAGTTAGCAGCAGAGAAGACTTGTGGTTTGGGTAATTATGCCATCAGGAAGTGATGCCTGTGAACTCTTCACAGGAACTGTCAGATCAAGCAACACACAGAGCAACGCGAAGATGTTTTTGAGGTTTGAGAGGATCAGTTTAACAAAGTTCAGTAAATAAGTTCACTCGAAGTGATAGCAAATTTGCCAGTAATTTCACTGAAATAAGTCAATTTATCAGTTATTGTATTTTTGTCATCAGTTAAAAAACCCCACTGCTGTACAAGACAATTTTATGTTTGTAACTTTAATCAGTTTTGTTGCCTGCTTCTTAATTTGGTTTTGATTAGTACTCTGTCATGAAACACTTATAGTATATATAAGTACTCTGTCATGAAACACTTATAGTATAGGGATGAGATGGGAGTATGATAATCACAGGATTTTCTTTCCATAATGACTTCAATTTCAGTTACATTTTCTAAACCTTCGAGGTTGGACGGCGATGTATTGAACTTCATACAATCTTGTGTAAACTGTACTGTACATCATCTCATTCCATTTAAATGGTCTGTGAGTGGTCCGTGTACTGAAGGAGTGGGGTTTTGAACAGTGTTTTCATTGTTTTGTTGTTTGTCTTTGATATTGACTTTAAAGATCAGCCTCTACTCAAGTACAGGCCATGGAGTTTTGAGAAGTTCATCAGTTACATCTCCATCAACACAGGCAGCGCTCAGCTGTGGTTACCACTGCATACAGTACATACAGCACTACAGTGTGTACACGATTTAGGTCTTACAAATGAATTGGTGGGACTGCAGCTGTACTGTATGGTTCTGGTCATACCTATATTTATTTATACCACTAAGTCTCATGTGTTTGACAATTTTATGATTATCATCCATTCACAGCTAATTTAATTAGTCCATGCAGATAAGAGTGACAATTTTATGATTATCATCCATTCATAGCTAATTTAATTAGTCCATGCAGATAAGAGTGGAGTGGATAGTGTTCTTGCCTTACAGTAGGAAAAACGTGTTCGATTCTCAACTGTGACAATTGG